CTGAAGATCCTGGGTTGATCTGGGTTTAGGTCAGGGCTTAGGGCTTTAGGGTGTAGGGTTGGGTCTAGGGTTTAGGGAAATTCCTGGGCTGCTGTTGAGGAATTTGAATTCAAGTTTTGATAGTGGAGAATCAAATGGAAAATGACATGGAAACTGCGGGTCTATGAGTGTCTTCTAGGGATCCAAGGAACTTAGTTAAGATAAGTTTTGACAAGAAGGAAACCCTGTTAGTTGACAGAATATGAACATGATATACATTTGATGGCAGTTTCATCAAAGTCTTTTACTCAGGGTTGGGGTCGTTCGCCAAACAGCGGTACCTTTGAGACCCCTAGGGCGCTAGGATAAGCGCGTGTTACACTGGGCCTCGAGGGTTTCTTCAGGGATTGCGTAGTACCTAACAGCTGTTTTGAGCAAGTTCCAAACCTCAAGAAATTAATCTTGATCTTTCCAACAATCATTCGATAATCATTGCTATTTTTTCAGGATCCTACAGTCCATTATCCCTACTAGGATTCCCATGCACTCTTGACAGAACTTTTGATGGTGCGACTTCTACATTGCTTTCCTTGGATACACAGACCTCCAACATGAGGTAAGCGAATGCATGTGTGTATTATATACATATATATATATAATTTGATTTGTATAGGTGCATTCTCTTTGAACACCCAAACCTCAAGCCTATACCCAAAAGCAAACCCAGGAACAGTCGGCCTTGTGGATTTCAAAGCTGCTTCCAGACTTAGTGGAGGCTTTACGAGACAAGGCAGATGGTAGCTTGGTGAGATTGGGGTATGTCAGATTGTTGTATGGGGAAAGTGTGGCAACATCACCAGCTATGTCTGAGTAATGCCATGTTCCGAGTTTTCGGGCAGAAGCCGGCAAGTTGTTTTCGGATGGATTTCTGTTGCATGTTTCCTTGTTCTGAGCCAAGATACCCGGCAAGGTATGGCCCCGCAAGGCCTTTCCAACTGTCTATGGGCCTCCGTGAAGCTACACGACGCTGCACCATACGTGCTGACTGCCATCCCAGCCGTCGCGCAACAGGCGGAGGGCTTGCCAACATTTCATGCGGGTACCCACTATTATTTAAAGAGTTACTTGGAGGGTAAGGGGGGCGTAGTAAGTAGATTAATAGCCCCTATAACCCCTATAGTAACTCTACTTATTCCCACTATCAACCTACTTACTGAGTCCCCCTGACCCTTAACTCTAAACCCTAAATAGTAGTTTCCATTTTCTTTTCCATTATCCTTATATAACCCCAATATAACCCCTATATAACCCATATACAACCCATATATAACCCCAATATAAGTACAGTCCCTAGGATGAAAGTGTAACGCCCTGTCTTCGACTAGCCGCCGGCCATACGCCCCACTCAGCATGCCCCTTACATTGGCCCCTGTAATCTTCTAGGTATTCGCCGTCTTAATTCGACTCCTTGTAAATTTGGTCATGTGCACCAGCATGCTAGACCTCAACAAATTGCCCCGAAACCTTCCTAGTGTTTGAACCTGGTTGGGTAGGGTTCTGGCTTTGCTGCCTGGAATTGCGTCAGCAGGTACGGTACCATGAAAACTACAGCAGTTACAGCAGTCCTGAAAGCAACATATTGCGTGTTCGGGAAGCCCTAAGCATCATGTATCTATATAGCTTCTGTCTGTGTAACTTTGGTCACCCTTTGACGCCCTTGTTGGTTACCCTGGGAAGCCCACAACGTGCATGACTGGCCAAGGACGGAGACATGTTGGCTTGACAGTCTAGTATAACTTCATGTGTGAAATTTCTACCCAGCATCAAGCACAACAGAACAGAAAAAAAATGCAAGTGCTGGATCCCCAACATGAAAGGCTCGAATAGGCGAGCACCACAAGGTACGCAATCCGTTTAATGCCCCTGAAAAGAACTCCCACATTATGCGGCTAAGCTTTGGAGGACTTTGACCTGAACATTCAAAGCAGGTGTCGGGCAAAGTGGCCAGCTTGAGCGCCCAGGAGTTGTCCTGCTGTTGCTTGGGCCCAAGCAAGAACTTGGATGGGGGACCTAGTAATACTGCAAAAGAGAGTGGAAACTAGTGTGTGTATATAGAGAGAGAGAGAGAGTATTTAGCAAAAAGGGTTTAGGGCCAGAGGGACTTGAATTTTGTAAGTGGGTAAATAATGGGAATACTTAGGGTCGCTATATGGGTCATAAGGGTTGTAATCCTTCTTACCAAGTACCCCTGACCCTCCAAGCAGATACGCATAACAGGAGGAGCGCGTGTGTTTTTTGGAAGTCCCAGTGCGGGGGCTACCTGGAGAGGAGGTCAGCATTGAATACCCTAAGCCCAAACCCTTAAACCCTAAACCCCACATCCTAAACCCTAAACCCTCTGCCCTAAACATACCATGACCCAATCGTTTCCGATTTCCCACCTCCCACCAACTCCCACCACCTCCCACCCTCCCACCTCCCACCTTCCACCTCCCAACCTCACTCACCCACCTCCCAGCCACTCTTTCCGATGGGGGTGCCTGTACCGTTGTGAGGAGGTCACATCTCAAGGTGGGTGGGAGGTGGTAAGGTGGGAGGGGAGGTGGGGGTGGGAGGGGGAGGTGGTAAGGTGGGAGGGGAGGCGGCTGCTACGGTAACGGGCAAGTTCGATTCGATCGTCGATCCGATTCGATGCCGGTGTTTGCGGCTGGTTGGCTAGGCATGCTAAACCCTATGAGTAGTATTTTATTTGGGGATACTATGGTACCCAATATAAAGTAAGATTATATCCTCCTTTTGGGGTATAGTATTTTATATGAGAAAATTGTCTTACTAGGTTCAACCACAAAAAAACACTACTCATATTTGGATCCATTGCCTCGAGCATCTTCAAAGTCCTAAGGGATGAGCTCTAGATTCAACAGTTGGCGCCAGGTGTGGGTTCAGGGGTTTATGGGTTTAGGCTTTGGATTTAGGGTCTAAAGTCCTTAACGGGGGTTATATACGGGACTATATAGGGGACTACTATAAGGGATATTAAGGGTTTGATTATGGGTTTATGGGTTTAGGGTTCAACTATGGGTTCATGGGTTTAGGGTTTAGGGCTTGTAAAATGGGCTTTAGGGTTGATAACCTCATGGCATAATTCTCTAGAGACCCCGCAACCTTAAGTTTCAGCCACATGTGACACTACTAGGTCTAATTGGGGGGGCAGTGTGCCATTAGGAAGGGGTGACCGACTTTTACCTGTGAAATAAGCTCTGAGCGATAAACCCAAACCCAACAGTCAAATCTGCTACGCCGCCTGTGCTATGCAAGTGGCAAAACCCTAGATGCTCGATCCTGAGCCCTACATCCTGCATAATAAGCCTTAGAATCCTAAACCCTAAGCCCCTAAACCTGAACCGCTGACTGGTCGCGCGAGACCCAAAGCTCCAAATGGCCCAATGTAGGTAGTATTTATAGTGATAGTTTTCAGGCCCCACGTAGGCATTATCTGTATACAACAGGTTTCTTTTGGCAACCCCAAACAGGGAACCCCAAGAAAATAATAGGAACATAAAAGAATGTAAGGACACTGGTAGGTATATTCCTATTATATTGGTTCCCTGTTTGGGGTTCCCAGTAAAGTCCCTCTAGTATACTTGGAGCACCACGGGAAGTCCAACATGCAAGGCTACTGGGCAGCCGCCACTCTTCGGGGGCATGCGCCATCTTTGCTGCAGCTTTGCTGATTCAGAGACTCTTAGCAAGGCGGCGGAGGGATTCTGTCGGGCTATATAGGTTAGGGTTTAGGGTTTAGGGTTCAGGGTTCAGGGTTGTCTAAACTCCTTGAAAGGGTTATATAGGCGATTATATAGGGGAGTATTAGAGAGGTTGTTAAGGGGGATACTAGGAGTTTAGGCTATAGCTCATATGGGGTTTAGTTTTGGGTTTATAGAGTTGAGGGTTTAGGGTTTAGAGGGTTATATGGGCTTGTGTACATCCATAAAGAAAGTTGATAGTTGATGGAAAAGAAGATGGATTAGTTGATGGAAGATGGGCTGATATGGAGGCTCCTGGAGGGATGTTACTCCTATAGGCACAAGAATGGAAAAAGCAACTTCACCTATTTGGAGGGTTAGATGGTAAAAAAGAAAGTGGAAGACACTAGATGATCATTACCGGTTTAGGGTTCAGGGTTGGAGGGTCAGGTGGACTCACGAGGAGGTTGTTCATGGGGATGACTGGGGCTACTGTATGGCTTATAGGGGATAAGCGGCAGGCTTTTTAGGTCCCCCTGACTCTCCATGTAAGATGCCTAGCAGCTGGGACGTCTCAGATATTTGGATAGTTAATAGCTTATCCGATGTATATATGTATATATATCAAGCATAAACAATGGAAATTACTATCCTACACCTGAACCCTAAATCCTGAACCCTAAATCCTAAACTGAAACCCTAAACCCTGAATCCTAAACCCTAAGCCCTACCCGTAAGGAGAACAGTTCCAACCTTGGTCCGGGCAATCCTGGGCCAAGTGGCGGCGTTCGACGCGCAGGGCCTGGCGAACTGTTACCGGACGGCAAGAAGCGTGTCTTTTCTTAGGGTTCAAGGTTCTGGGTTTAAGGTTTAGGGTTCAGGGTTGTTGTTAAGTTCTAAGGAACATAAAGGGGTTATGTAGGGATATTGCCCCCCAATAATGGAGAATCAAATTGAAAAGAACATGGAACATGAAATGGGAGCAGGGGTTGAAGGCTTAGGGTTGCTGGTAAGGAACTCACTTTAAGTTACCACAATGGGTATACATAGTAATTAACCGGGTTTCCCCAATATCTTTGCTTAAGTTATATTCTTAACAGCAGCCCATTTGTTCGTATTGTCCTTGACTTCCACAATCCAATCGACAGAGACTCCTGGTGGCAGAGGCCCCAAATAGGCATTCCCGCTAGATGTTCCTGCTTATTATGTCTCATTCAACAGGGCGCCCGCGGGCAACTCAAGAACCATGACTTTTGCAAAGACTTGAAGAGGACTAAGGCCTTTGGGCCACGGCAAAGCTTCAAGATGCGGTGCCGGAAGTACTCACAGCCGTGCCGACCCTTGTGGCGTGCATACCCGGGCGGATCCAGAGCATGATCCCCCAACACCTGTCAAACTGCACCTCAGCTGCATGCATTTGTTTTGCTAGTTTTGGTTGGTGTTGTCTCAGTAACATTACCGTTGCCGCATCTCATCCGGCGTCTCCGAAAAATCCTGACACCAATTGCTTCAGTGCTAGCAGAAAATTCCATTGATACATATATATATATATAGGGGTTATATAGGGATAATGGAAAAGAACATGGAAGCCAATATAAGAGAGTATATATACATATATAGCATGTATATATATATATATACACTTGCTGGGCTGCGCTATTAGAATTCTACGTCTCCAGGTACTTGTTAGGCTGGCAAAGGCTGGCGGACCCGGCGGAACAATCCAGATCAGGAGTGCGACAATGGAAGTCAAAGGGGATGCCCCCGTTTGGCCAAGCCTAAACCATAAACTCATTCAACCCATCAAATGGGGTTTTCTAAAAGTAGTGGTGCCATTTTGGGGGGTCCTTGTAAGAAGGATTATAGCATTTTGGGGTTTTAGTTGTGGTCCCCCACTTCTGGGAAAGCATCAAAAACTGCAGTTGCCTCAAGAAAGGCCTCTTATCCTTCGCCCTGCTGCAGCAGTCGGTCCCCGAGGCAGCAGGAGCCCCCCCAAAAAAAGGTTGGGTTTAGGGTTTAGGTTTGGTGTAAGGGCCATACAGAGAATAGGGATTGCGGGTTTTGGGCTTCATGTGAGCTACAGTGAAACTCTTTAAAATATCAAAATATAGGGGAGCATTTTTGCGGCCATTAGGGGGGGACGTTAGGGGTTTAGACGATGGCTCATGTCGGGTTTGAGGCGTGGTGTGTACTGCATGGGGTCAAAGATGTATAACGCCAACGGAAAACTTAGGATCCAGAGAGCAGATCAAGCGTTTCAGGGGTTTCTAAGCTGAAGTCTTTGAACATATGTTCTGAATAAAATGTAGATGTTCTGCCAGAGCGTATTTCAGTCAAAAGGGCCCTCCACCCCTAAACCTTAAACCAGCCCTTCACCCCTAAACCTAAAACCCTGGTCCAACCCTAAGCCCCAAACCTGATAAACATGTCATAACATGAAACAAGTGTGTCCCAAAAATATATGGTCTCTAATGGGGCATGGTTAGTATTGGGTGTGTTTAAGGATAGTCTGAGAGAAGTACATAATACTGGTATGTAACTTCATCTTACCCGCAGAATCCCTACCCTCTTTTGGGGTTTCCGAAGGTGCTGTCTGGCGTGCCTCTCATTGCCACGCACATACAGCAGAAGGCAGTCTGCCTGCACGTGGGGGTTTCCCAAAATTAAGGGTCCTTTTTTGGAGCTCCTTCTAATAAGGATTCGAGTATACTGGTGTCTAAATTGGGGTCCCCCTATTTAGGGAAGCAACCAGGACTCGTCGTCCCTTTTTGGAGGGGTTCTTGTAATACGGATTATTGTATTCTTGTCTTTATGTTGGGCCCCTTTGAGAGACCTTACCATGTGATAATTTCCGGCACCTGCTGGGCCCTGCACTTCCAAAGAAAACTTGCGTGCCCCTGATCTCCTGTGATTATTTCTGAGCTTGAGCTGACAACCTACTGGGTATATGCGTAGATGAAGTCATGCAAAATTGTTGCTTCCATGGGGGAGTGTAGAGTTTGTAAGGGCTTTTGGGTGTTGGTCCTTTGGGCTGTTTTGGGGTGTTGGGATTAGGGTGTTCATTTGGGTTGCAAGGAATCTGGGAGTCTTCAAGAGAATGGCCACGGGGCACAGGGTACCGTGGGACGCCCTCCCCCCAGGGCCCCACAATGTTGTCTCCAAATTCTAGAGCCTGCGACGTTCAGGATGGATGTATAGGCCCCCTTAAGCAGATAGAATACGCGGTATATGGGCATCTTATTGTAGAATACCCAAAGCCATGTTCTATCTACATAAGGGGGACTATAAATGGAGATTCTGGTGAAATGCGGGCTATTCGGGTGATTGGAGGGTTGCTGCAATGTGTTTGTCCTTTCCCCCACATGGTAGGACATCAGAAGGTGCAACCATGATATGATACAACTCAACGTTTGCTATGGTTACAGAGTTCTCAGGCACTAGTCGGGTCTGAGGCTACGCCGTCTGTAACTACATAGGTATGCACTGAGTACACGAACGGCCATGAGCGCAAGTGATAAACGACATTGGAGAGAGCGTAACCCCAAGCTGGCTGAGCTTTGTTTGTACTTTCCTTTCCGCACGTAGCGATTCCGAGGTGTAGAACAAGCTCATCTCTGTAGCACCATCAGCGCAGGTGGTTAAGCAGACAGCAGAGATACCCTTACGGGGTGGGAAGTGGTTTTCCTAGGCAATCGCTCAACTCGAAATCGAGTTTTCCCTTACTTCGCATGTAGGGCATCTATGTTCTTTGAAAGCGCCAGTCAGGTGGATCGCCTGCTGCCCCAGCACCTGTGCAATTGTCTATGGGCTGCCGCCAATTTGAAAGAGGCAGGCCCTGAGGCTGGGATGTTCAAATACCTGTAAAGACTGCTCACTACATATTATGTTGCATAAGGAAGACAACAAACCATAATCTGTTGCTGGTGGAAGTGTTGCCACGCCTGAGGTATTGAAAGCTGTCCCGGCCATTGCGCAGAGGATCCCGCACAACACAGACAGATTTGATTATCAGCTGCTCGCCAGTGCCTGCTGGTCAGTTGCAGTGTTACAAGAAGCCGTTCCAGAGGTGTTGAGCACGGTGCCAGCCCTGGCAAGCAAAGCGCACGGACAGAGCGGAGACTTCGATTGCCAAGCATTGTCAAACTGCTTGTGGGCTGCTGCGCACTTGCAGGAGTCTGCCCCGGCAATGCTGGCCATTGTACCCCGGTTGGTGAAAGGCATTGTGAACAGCGCAGACCGGATGCTCCCTCAGGATTTCTCTGAAACTGGAAACCCCACTCCCCCCTGCTCCTTAGGTCCTTACACCCAAAGCCCATAGCTGAACTCGCCCCCTCGTCCAGCAGGATGTGTCAAACTGTTTGTGGGCCATCGCAGCCCTCAAGGCTGCGCTTAGGGTCGGGGTTGCGGTGTGGGAGCTAGGGTTCCGGTTCAGGGCACAGGGATGAGTTCGGGTCCTGGGGGCTGGACATTTCAGGAGGGTAGCCTGTAAACTTGAATGAGGTATACCAGTGGGAAAGCGGTTGCAATGCAACGGAGTGCTATTCTGAACAACAAGCTTGGCAAACTAAGACGAGATGGCACGTTTTTGTTGTGTTCCCTACTGCTGGTTGCTACTCGGGAATGAAAGAATGGCAAAGACTAAAAGAAAAGAGCATGGAAGCTACTTCATAACTGCAAGGGTTGCTGCAGAAATTCATTCCTCCATTCCCTACTAAACCATATATAAGTCCTGGATCTTCCTGTAAACCTCTTGTTGCCATTTCATGCTCCATGTGCTTTTCCATTTGATGTTCCATTGTGGCGATCCTTTTCCTTCCTCCGCCCTCCAACTACCTCGAAGCCTGGAACCCCAATTAGGGGAGTAGGGGGGTCCTGCTGCTCACAACCTAAACCCTAAGCCTATAGGAGGGTCATGGTAACAACAACTATTAAGGATTCCCTCCAGGATGCCGCGCCCCAAGCCTTACAGGCGGTACCCGCACTGGCTGCACAGATACCACGCAGCTTGGTGTAGAAACATAAAACAAGCAGAGATATTCAGTTCTTGGAGCGTTCTTCAGAACGCTGGAATAATGATGTGTGATGCAGACTACCCTAGATCAGCTTCAACCACCAAATTTCCTAGCAGACCTTGATGTCCTCGAGTTGACAAAAGCAAGCCCAGAGGGCTCATGTACGTAGTATACTTAGGCCCCAAGGGGCTTCCAATATGACTACCTACCCTGGGGCTCAAGTACATGGATCCTTTGAGTACTGAAGAGCAGCTTCGGGCTTTTCAGGGCTTCTCCCTTACTAGCAAGCATTTGTGACCCGACCCCAACTGCACGTTTGGGGTGTATACTATACTACAGTCATACAAGCCTTGTCAGGGGATGGAATTTGAAGGGTTCTACGGTAGGCAACGCTTTTTGCAGAGTCAGATGCTGACGGGTAATTCATTCTGGTAACCGTCTGGTGGTACCGGTCGCTGGCAAGTTGACATGTTTCAGGCGTCCTATTGCCTCCTACACGCCAAGTTGCCCTTTTTCCCGGCAGAAAGTGCTTGACCAAGGCAGCGTTGGGAAGATGATTCCACAGCATTTGTCCAACTGCCTCTGGGCGGCTGCAGCCCTGAAGGATGTGGCTCCTGAGGTGTTGCAGGCCGTGCCAGCCTTGTCGAATCGAATTCCGCAACTAGGTTAGATTGGAACATAACATTTCTTGTGTACTTGGCTTTTTGCATTTTTCAGATGTAGACACAGGGAAATTCTGAGAGGGCCTCCAAGTCTGGGACAGGAAGCAGGTCCGAGAGTTTGACTCACAAGCTTTGGCCAACTCCCTTTGGGCATCTTCGCAACTACAAAGCTTCTCAGCAAGATGTGGGGGATGCCTGCAAGACTTCCTGGATGGGGTGCGATAGAAAATTCGACGCTCATTTTTCGCAAGTTCTTTGGGGCAGTGGGTATTGTAAACAGGGGGTGTTACATAGTTTATGTGCGAATGCAGAGCAGTCCTTTCGCACCTCAACTCATCCTATATAGCCCCTATATAACCTCTGGAATGTAGTAGTCTCCATGTTCTTTTACATTACCCCTATGTAACCCCATAATATAGCCCATAATAACCCCAGTTTCCATTTTGTCTTTAGGGTTGGATCTATTGTTTGAGCCCCCCAAACCAGACATTCGACAAAGATCAAACCGCAAGATTGAGCTCCCTTGCTCAATCAAGGCTTTACTAAAAGGATTTTGGTAACCCCAACGTCCAAAATTAGGACAGAACCAACATATGATGGTCGTAGGATGGTCATCGGGTCCTAATTTTGGGGGTTGGGGCTGTCGAAATCCTTTTGTGAGACGCTCAATAACCATGGCACGGCAGCCAGAAAGGGAGCCGCAAAGCTGTGTAACTACTCGTGTGCTGGTAATGATGACCGGGACGCATTGCTCAGGCTGTGATCCACGTGCCCTTGACGCACTGCCAGCAATCGTTGACATCATGGCGCAGAAGGCGCCTTGTGGAGGATTCTTACACTGGAGCCTTCTGTATGGCGTTGACAAATGTGGCGCCGTAGCGCCACGGGCCACGCGTTTCTTTCGGTCTGTCCGTGGTTTGTCTTGTTGAGCAAAGCGCGATCTCCGAGGCTCCTTAACAAAGGTCAAGGACTGGTGGGTTTCTTGCTGTGGGGTGATCCATATCTACACGTTTACTGGCAATCAAAGAGGAGGCATGCGCCTACATTGGATTCACAGCGCGAATCATCAGGCTGTAGCATCACAACGCTACATGTTGAACAGGGTACTGTTCCTGAACTTTTGAAGCATTTCAATCAGAACAGATAACCGATTGAACACCATGCGTGCTTCAGGAAACTTGACACATGCAGTCCCCTCTCCTCGTATACCATGCAAGCTTCTCTTTTGCTTGGCTAGTTATTGCCAGGGTTATAAGTATCGGAACTATGATCAGAATCGATCGCAATCTTTTTAGGGGACACTTCTCGCCCTACATATAACTACCCACAAGCTTCCAAGTAACACTAAACCCCTAACCCCACACCGCCTAAACCCTAAACCGTAAACCTTAAACCCGAAACTCCTATGGTCCCCATTAAGTAGATAGAACATGGGGTATATGGGGATCGTATTATAATGTACCCTGTACCCAAAGCCATATTTCATGTACTTAAGGGGGCTATAAACCCTAAACCCTGAATAGTAGTTTCCATTTTCTTTTCCATTATCCCATACAACTCCCATATTCTATCTACTTCAGGGGGACTATACACCCTAAACCCTGAATAGTAGTTTCCATTTTCTTGTCCATTATCCCCATGTGTTTTGCTTTGGCAGGTGAACCTGGTCATTCCTCGGAGCACCTAAAGGTTTGCCCTCCCACTGCAGCATCTCCGTAAGCTGCTTGAATTCAGAAAAGCGTAACGTAGGGAAGTGGGCAGGGATGCTGCTGCACATGTGAACTGTAGTCTAAACTC